AAGAGAAGGCTTGTAATTTAAAGTAAAAAGCTAGAAATTACTACGAATTTAGATGTGGAAGCATTCATATATTGTTAAGTTTGAACTCGTTTCTCTCTTAGATGTGGATACTTTGAGTGTATTCCTATTAAATATGAAGAAATTCGACCCTTGACACAAATACAAAAATCTGCTTAAATAGAAATCCTAAATATGTAACCGTCGACGGTTACTAGCCCACGTTGGGCTTCGTGGGAATCTGTTTTGATTATTTTCATGTTCCCACTGGCGTACACGTTGATAACTGTTCCCGCCAATATGAATCCTTGCTTCGTCGACCTCTGTACCTGTTGACAGTTGCCTTTGAACCTCATGTCCTCGTCGACAGGCTTCCTTGGTTGATGTCCTTTCCCTTGATCGATGTTATTTCCCTTGCTCGGCAATCTTGTTGTTTCCTACGAGACTTATGCCTTTTTAGCCTTTTAATTTTATAGTTTAAAAGCCTATTTCCCTAGTCGCAAAATTGCTTGTCAACAAACCCATATTATATTAAATACATTATTTTTGTATTTTTTATAATAAATGAAAAAATATTTTATAACTTGAATATTAAAAAACCAATTCAAAATAAATTGTATTAGATCAAATTAAATCAATTTTTAACTAATTAATCAACATTTAACTGCAAATAAATTTATCTTTAAATATAATAAATTTTTACTTCAAAAATATTTCAAACTGCACTCCAAACACCTTTAATTTAAGTAACCCCTAAACAATTTATTTCCATATTTTTATGAATAAATAAATAACGTGATCCTAAAATATCATCATTTTATTAAGTTGGTTTTGTTTTGTTTTGTTTTTCATGTGTGTTTTTAGCTCATTTTTGTTTAAATTGCTAGCTAATTTGCCGCATTCCAAAATTTATGTTCCAATATCACGAATAAAACTTTAATGCATTGAAGTGCCAAAACCATAAGTTTAAAAATAAAAACAAAATATTAAATAAACTGAGGATGCTTAAGTTTTAAACTAAATGCAAAAATATGTTTAAAAATATTTAAAAAACTATTTAAACTCCTTAAATATGCTATTTAATTTCAATGTAGTGTTCAATCAAAATTAGATAAAATTCAATTTAAATTAAATAAGTAAAAAAATTAAAATAATATTTTGAACTGAATCAGAACATACTGTCTAAGTGTATGATTGCATATCAAATAATTTTAGATGAATGTATAATAATTTTTTCATTTAAATCATTTAAAATTAATTTTTAAAATATCTTTAAATATCAATGATTAGATTACATAGCTACACAATTTTAATATACATAAACAATAACTAATTAATATTTTCATAGAATTTTCAAAATCTCTTCAAATATATTTTTATTTTTAGGAATGGGATGATATCAGATCGGGCTAATATTGCGTTGCACATAATAGAATATTTTAAAAATCTTTTTTCTTTTAATGATTCTTTTTTGCAGGATAGTTCTTTGGTGGATGACATTATCCCTAGCCTGGTGAACTTTGAGACGAATGCGATGATGATTGCTCTTTCATCTTTGGAGGAAATCAAAGCTGTTGTTTTCTATCTTAATAATGATAGTGCCACTGGTCCGAATATCTTCAGAGCTTCTTACTACCAATTCTATTGGGATATTATCAAGCTTGAGGTTTTGGATGCGGTCATTCAATTTTTTTCTGCTAGTTGGTTACCTCACAGTTTCAATTCTAACGTGATTGTGCTTATTCCAAAGACTGATAGTGTGAATTCTTTCGATCTTTATCGTCCTATAGCTCTCTTTAACTTCAAGTTTAAGATTATTTCTAAAATCATTACAGTCAGGCTTACATCTATTCTATCTTTTTTGATCTCTCACGAGCAAAGAGTTTTTATTCAAGGGAGAAACATCAAAGATTGTATTGTGTTAGCCTCAAAGGGTTTCAATCTTCTAGACTCCAAGTCTTGGTGCGGTAATGTGGCGTTGAAAGTGGATATTTCTAAGGCGTTCGATACGTTACAATGGGACTTCCTTACAAGGTCTTGAAGAAGTTTGGTTTTAATGATAAATTCTGTCAATGGATTTCCTACATTTTACATTCTGCCTGGATGTCGATTTCGGTCAACAAAGCTCTTCACTGTTTCTTTAATTGCTCTAAGGGTGTCAGACAAGGGGACCCCTTTTCCCCTCTTCTATTTTGTCTTGTAGAAGAGGTGCTCAACAGGATTATTAGCAGCAAAGTCACTTCTGGTTCGCTTGCTTTGATTAAAGGCCCTCAGAATATCCAGGCCCCTTCTCACATCTTATATGCAGATGTTGTGCTCATCTTCTGCAAAAGGAGTATTGCCAACATAAATACTCCGGTTTCGGTTTTTAGGTCTTACGCAGTTGCCCCGGGTCAAGTTGTAAACTGCAGTAAATCATTTATTTATGGTGGAGCTATGTCAGCATCGCGTCTCAACATTCTTTCCGTTTTATCTGGTTTCAATGTTGGTCCATCTTCCTTCATGTACCTCGGAGTCCCAATTTTTAAAGGAAAGCCTAGAGATAAGTTCCTTCTTCCAATTGCCGACAAAATTATTCTCAAGCTAGCTTCTTGGAAATGGTCGCTGCTCTCTTTTGCTGGTAGAGTGGAATTGGTTAAATCCTCTATACAAAGTGTGCTCATTCACTCTATGTCAATTTACGAGTGGCCGATATCGTTATTAAGGAAAATTGAGAAAGCTGTCCGAAATTTTATTTGGAGTGGTAATGTGTTGAGTAAGAAATCTGTCACTGTGGCTTGGAAGAAAATCTGCAAGCCTATTTCTAAAGGAGGCTTGGTATTTGCTCTTTGCTCGATCTTAATGCATCATCGATATTAAAGCTTACTTGGGAGTTTCTTAACTCGGATGAAGACTGGGCAATCCTTTCTCGTTTGTCGGGTTTTGTGTAATAATAATTTTATAAAGCATCACATTTATTCTTTGGTTAGTCTTCTATTAAATTTGAGATGCCAATTATCTGGGATAACTCTTCTTGGTTGCTTGGTAATGGTAATTCTATAAATTTTTGGCTAGACTCTTGGTGTGAAGACCCATTTTTCTTAGAGATGGGGAATTTTGGTGCATGAAGATTTAATGGTTAGTTCTTTTATAGTGAATAATTCTTGGGACTTTAGTGCAGTGGCTGGAACGATTCCGATTTCGATTCAGGTCATAATTCTCAATTGCTATATCCCTTTCGATCTTCGTCCTGATAAGCGCGTTTAGACCTGTTCTCCTTCGGGTGATCTTTCTCTAAAAGCGGCCTATAATTTCAAGAGAAACCCGGGCGTTTACTTGGACTAGTATAAGTGGGTCTAGTAGAAAATTATTCCTCCTTCAAAATCATTCATGGTCTGGAGACTATTGCTTCATAAGATTCCTATAGACGAAATTCTCAAGCGAAGAAATTTTGCATTCCCTTCTATCTGTTGCTCGTGTTCTGCATCAGAAGAAACATCTTTGCATTTATTTTTTGAGTGCCCGTTTGCTAAGTCTCTCTAGAAGTGGATGGGGAATGCCTTAAATATTAGCTCCCAGTTCTCAGATTGGGATGATATTTGGAAGATTTTCAAGAGGAATTGGTCGGATCAGTGCAAGTTGATTTTTAATGTTAAGGCTATTCATCTTATCAACAACATTTGGTTAGCTCGCAATAAATTCCGTTTCCAAAATATTCGTATCACTCCTCTTCTGCTATTGCGGGAATTCTTTTAGTTTGTAGATTAGCCGGTAACAATTTCAAAACTCCATCTTATCTTAACATTCATGATTTTGTTGTCTTGAAAACCTTCAAGGTAACTATTCAGCCAGCCCCTTGTGCTCCTAAGATTGTAGAAGTTATTTGGAAGCCTCCCTTTGGGATTTGATTAAATTTAACTGTGATGGTGCCTCCTTAGGCAGTCATGATCCCTCTGCGTGCGGTGACATAACTAGAGATTTTGATGGCAGGTTCCTTAGAGCCTTTGCTAGTTTCATTGGTATCTTCAATTGTCTCATTGACAAACTCACATGTGCTATGATAGCGATAGAGTTTGCTAATGAGAAGGGTTGGAACAAGATTTGGTTAGAATCTGATTCTCTGCGGTGATTCAAGCTTTTTCTCCTCCTTTCCAGGTGCCATGGCAAATCCGGTCCAGATGAACTAATTGTATTAATTTGGTTAATAATATGTCTTTTATTGCTTCTCACATTTTTCAGAGAAGAGAACAATTGTACGGAATCTTTGACAAATATTAATCTAACGGTAACAGATTACACTAACTACAATAATATTTCTATTTTTTTAAGAGTAGATTTTATAAAGAATATACTAGATTTTTTTCTCCTGTTTATATATTACCTTATTAAAAAAAATTATTAAGCCAAGAAATTTATGTTAGAATTCATGTGAAAATAAAAATTTATGTTAAGAGTTAACATTTACCACTAATATAGTAGTTTTTATAAATAAAATTTTTAAGTTTCTTGAATGATTAGTGCATGTGACTTATAAATAAATTTTTTAAGTTTCTTGAATGATTAATGCATGTGACTTATAAGTAGACCATGTAAATCAATTATTCAATTAATTTTAAAAAATTAATATCTAATATTATTATATTAATAACTAAAGAAATATTAAAATTACAAAGATATATTTAAATGTATTTTTAGTATCTTAATTAAAATGTTACTCCTTGTCAAAAAAAAAAAAAATTAAAATGTTACAAGTCAATCTATTAGTAATGTCTTTCCAATTTTGATTTGCCTTAAAAGAAAATGTACATATTTTTATTAAGAATAGTTTGTTAAATCCAACAAATTCAAGCACATGTGAAAACGTTATCTTCATAAATTCCAGCACCTAACCTTTATCCCTTGACTTCCCCAATACCCAATAACTGAATCTTCTCATAAATTCATTTTATCTCTTCACAAATCCAAATCCCTAACTTTCCATTCAGAATCTCAATTCTTCACCCCCAAACCCAGAATCAAGAATCATGGGTACCGAAACAGCATCAATGGATCAAATCACAGAACCCTTGATTCAAGAACCACAAACCACCAATTCAAAGAGTGAATTTTTATCCGAACCAGTTCCTGAATGGAAGGAACAGATCACGGTTAGAGGGTTGGTTGTGAGCGCTGTTTTGGGGTGTTTGTTTTGTATTATAACGCATAAACTCAATCTCACGGTTGGGATTATTCCCTCGCTTAATGTTGCGGCTGGGTTGCTTGGGTTCTTTTTTGTGAAGACGTGGACTGGGTTGTTGACCAAGATTGGGGTTCTTACTAAGCCGTTTACAAGGCAGGAGAATACGGTTATTCAGACTTGTGTTGTTGCTTGCTATGGCCTCGCTTTTAGTGGTAAAATTGTCTTCTTGTTTCACTTTGATATAAACAAAGGGTTCTTGTTTGTCTTTATTTATTTATTTATTAAGAAAGATCTAGAGTTCTTAAGGATTCGGAGTGAAACATGGTCTTGGATAGAACATTATGACATAAGTTGATCCTTGTAGCCGACCCTGCTTAGTGGAATAAGACTTGATTATTTGTTGCTGTATAGTTTTTATATGATATGATTTGGTTTAGCTTAGTTTGAGTTTTTTTGTTTAAGGTAAGTTGTTCAATTTCTAAGGATTCAACTCAGATCCTACAAAGATTTGGGTAGAAATTTTCGGATAAACTTGTTTCTGGAAAGGCTTTCGCGATTTCGGTCTGTACATGTGTTGCAACGCTGATTGCGGTCGTTGCGATGTGAATTAACCTCACTTTGTTCTTTATGGTGATTGTGGTTGCTGTGTGAATTAATCTCAATTTGTTCTTTGTCATAAAAATGGTGAATAACGGTATCGATATCGGAAGCTTTTGATACCGCTTTGTCGCGGCTGTTTTTTCGGTATTAGGCTTTTTTAAAAACCTTGGTTGGAGGGTGGGTTGAAGGGTATTATGTAAGTTCTCTCTAAGCATATCAAGATCCAACTCACTTAAACTTTTCAAGATAAGTTTTTTTTCTTGTGCGTGTTTGCGATTTGCCCGAAATGGTTCCTCTACACCAGGTTTTATGGTGCAGGTTATAGTAGACCATTGGATTTTTTTTTTGGGATAAGAAAGTTTAAGTGAGTTGGAGTCCAAACTCTGGTGGAGTTTAGCTCAAGCCCTTGTGAGTATGGGCTAACTCCTTGCAAATTGAATCAACAGCTGTTGGCTAGGCTGTTGAGTTTAGAGGACGGCTTACGGCTTGCTGCATTGTAAGACCGATTGTAGGGGATCTAAGTAAGTGATTTGACTGTTATAACGGTGGATTGATCTTTAGATGTTCTGTTTTCTTTCGTGTGCATGAGCTTGGTGCTTTTGTGAAAAATATGTTTCTTGCTCGTGGTTAGGTTTCTGAAGATGAGGGGCTGGTTAGTTTTATGATAAAAAGTAAAAACAAAACATTTTCTAATTTTATGAAACCGAATAGAAGGCACTAATGTAAATTGAGAATGAAGAAGAAGAATGATAGTAAAATCGTTCTGCATCCCCCCTCCAACAATCCTTAATTTGAACTCTCTTTTCATTGATAGAGTTAGATTAGTGCAAGTCAAACAAAAGCCATACCAATTACCAAGGCTTAAAAAAAAGAAGGTTCAATTAGAAAATCATTTATCTAGTTAGATGTGTATTTCAGCTATGTTTGTTTTAATTAGAACCTTTTCTATGCGTGGCATGGACTTACAAATTCAGCACTCAGTTGCACTCTACACGATACACTTTTTTATTTTATTTGTATGCAGTTCTGTTGTGCAACCTGTTTACAAAACATTCAAAGGATATTTATTTGTGAAAACACTCAAAGTTTTTGTATTCAAAAGGAATAAAGTAGTGAAAGCGAAAATGTGTCTGGTCGCTTAGTTTAGTGTTACTGACTGTGATATTGTTGACAGGGGGGTTCGGTTCATCCTTGATTGCTATGGATCAAAAAACATATGAACTCATTGGCCCGGATTATCCTGGTAATAGAGCTGAAGATGTTAAAAATCCCGGCTTGGGATGGATGATCGGTTTCATGTTTGTTGTCAGTTTCCTTGGTCTTTTTAGTCTTGTGCCACTTCGTAAGGTAATCTTTCTGGTTCACTTTTATTACATAGGGTTTGCAAAATTTCTATTTTTTTCCACGAAAACCGAATCATTTTAGGGTAGGCATCTAACGACACAAGTGATTAGAAAATTCGAATTGAAGGGAGTGCATATTTTGATTAATGCTTTTGTACTTCTCTATATAGGTGTAACCTCTTTTTTACTTCAATCTGTTACATGTATAATATATCACTTCCTTTACCAATGCATTTAATCTCTTGTAATGAAATTTCAGGTTATGGTCTTGGATTATAAGCTTACATATCCCAGTGGAACAGCCACAGCAATGCTAATTAACAGTTTCCATACAAAAACTGGAGCAGAACTTGCAGGGTATATACTAATTTGACCACTCAGAAGCTTTATGCATATATTTTTCTTGTCTTTTTTTATTTATTATTGTTTTTCTTGTTATGAGAATCTTCCAGGAATCAAGTTCGGCAACTTGGAAAATATTTAAGCATGAGTTTCTTTTGGAGCTGCTTTAAGTGGTTCTTCAGTGGGATTGGAGATTCATGTGGATTTGACAATTTTCCTAGCTTTGGTTTGACTCTATTTAAGAACACGTAAGAATCTTTTACTTTTGGTTTTTTCTCGTCCTTTATCAGAATTCAATTTAGACGTTTAAATAAACACCTTAGCCACCAACATAATACAAACACGAGGATTGAATTTCTTCGGTCAAATGAATGTCGGTGATTAGTTGCATGTAGTGACAGAGAGTGACTAATCAAAGTTGGATCTCATATCACAAGGAAGATAAAAGTTTGTAGAGTGAGGTAGAGTAGCAGATCCAACTTGGGTTTTATATCAAGAGCAAGATAAAACTTTATGTATGGTTTGAATGTGGCCTGTGTTTGTCTCGAGTAGTTAATTGCCAGGCATGTACAGAAACACAGTAGGTAGATAGAGTTAGGAGAAAAGAACAGAAAGTGGTTACCAAGTGATATTAAGCTTCATTATGCAATTTAGCCTAGGCCAAATCAAATGCCAGTGTAGATTTCTAATGCAGTGGGTTTACTGTTTTTGGCCTTTTCTATTAAGCTTCCAGGTACTAACGCCACATTCTTTTCATGCAGATTCTACTTTGACTTTAGTCCAACTTATGTTGGATGTGGTCTTATCTGCCCCCATATAGTGAATTGCTCTGTTTTCCTTGGAGCTATTATTTCATGGGGTTTTCTGTGGCCTTTCGTCACCAAGCATGCCGGGGACTGGTATCCAGCTGACCTTGCTAACAATGATTTCAAAGGTCTTTATGGATACAAGGTATGGCAAAGCAAGTATACTTGCAGGATTTCGGTTTATTAATCTTTATGCCAACCCTACTTGTCGTGATCTATGCCTGTAGTTATGCTTTATTTTCTCTTAGACAAGTTCTGTTGGGATTGTTCCTAGCTTGTGTTTTAAAGAAGGTTTCATATTCAAAGGTGTGCTCTCCTTGTGCAGGTATTTATATCTATTGCCATTATTTTAGGAGACGGTATCTACAATCTAGTTAAGATTATAGTGATAACGATTAGGGAGATGTTGAGGACAAGATCCATACAGAACAGCCTTCCTGTTGTGACTGAGGTTCCTGGTGAGTAAAATCGAATACATTTCTAAATATTTCCTGTTGATAAGCACGATTTCATCTCCTTTATTATTGTAATCAAATTCTGAACATGGAAGTTGATTTATTTTTCTTTCATATTCTTATTCTTAGAAGGTGATAGTTCTGAATTGCAATTAGAAGAAAAGAAAAGGGCTGAAATATTTTTGAAGGATGGGATACCAACCTGGTTTGCAGCATCTGGATATGTAGGCTTGGCAGCGATATCCATTGTAACAATACCACTTATTTTCCCTCCTCTCAAATGGTACTTGGTTCTATGTTCTTACATCCTTGCCCCTGCCCTTGCCTTTTGCAACTCTTATGGCACAGGGCTCACAGATTGGAGTCTTGCATCCACATACGGTAAGATCGGTCTTTTCATCATTGCGGCAGCAGTTGGCACAAACGGAGGGGTAATTGCAGGTATAGCATCTTGTGCTGTGATGATGTCCATCGTTGCAACCGCAGCCGACCTCATGCAAGATTTCAAGACAGGTTACCTCACACTCTCATCAGCAAAATCCATGTTCGTGAGCCAGTTGATAGGAACAGCTATGGGCTGTATAATTGCTCCTCTCACATTCTGGATGTTCTGGACTGCGTTCGACATAGGATCACCTGATGGCCCTTACAAAGCACCGTATGCTGTTATATTCAGGGAAATGGCCATTCTTGGCGTTGAGGGATTCTCGGAGCTTCCAAAATATTGCATGGAAATGTGTGGCGGTTTCTTTGCAGCGGCATTGGCTATCAACCTTTTAAGGGACGTGATTCCAAAGAAATACTCGCAGTACATTCCAATTCCAATGGCAATGGCAGTTCCTTTCTACATTGGTGCTTACTTTGCAGTTGATATGTTTATTGGAACTGTAATATTGTTTGTGTGGGAACAAGTGAATAGGAAAGATTCAGAAGATTATGCTGGAGCTGTTGCTTCTGGTTTGATTTGTGGTGATGGGATATGGACTATTCCTTCAGCAATTCTCTCTATTTTGAGGATTAATCCACCAATTTGCATGTACTTCGGGCCTTCTGCTAGCAGCTGAGTTAGGGAGAAACTTTCCCCCGTCCCATATGGTTTGTTTCGGAAGTGTATCAGGATGACATGATTTTTCTGTAAGGTACAACACACGAAAATTGCGTTCTTTCTATAACGTCTACATTCAAAGGAATCATGGGGCTGGAACAAATTCCTTGGCTGAGTCAAGAAATTTGAGGCTGCTTTGAAACTTTGATGTCTGTTGGCATTGTGTATGTAAATAAATCTGGATGTAGGATTGAAGGGAATATCCATATTGGTTTCCTCTTTGCAAGGGTTCACTATGTTGATTAGTTATTTATTACATTTGATACAATGTATAAAATGTATCGTATGATTTATTTATTTCTACTTTATATTAAGTTCTTTGCAAAATTTAAATAAATAATAGGGTTAATAGTTCCTTTGGAGCACACAATTATTAATGTGATTTGCTTCAAAGCAGTTCATAAACCATGAACTCAGTACATCAAGTAGGTATGCATTTATTGCATGACCATCACAATTACCTAAAATGCCAACTGATCTAGATTTGGCCACATATCCACTAAAACATCGTGATTGATAAATAGGTAGATGGGTTAGGTGTGTCTCTTCCCTCTTTCTTTTTCTACTTTTATTCTATCCTTTTGCTTTTGCTTGTGCTTCTATTTGGGATTTTCATTTTGATAGATTTGTAGAAACCCAAGGAATTTTTTCTGAGATTTTTTTTCCTATTTTGCATGCTCTGCTCTCAAAAGTAGCACTGAGCAAGATCCAACAACTCCTGTTCTTATGGTGGTTTGCTTGCACTAGAGTATCTCAAGTAACCCTTAAGGAGTTCGTTTATATCTGTCCGGGCTTTCAAATATATACAAAAATCATAAGTATCTTATTTATCATCTGATAGAGATAACCGTCTTCTAATGTCTCAAGTAACCCTTAAGGAGTTCGTTTATATCTGTCCGGGCTTTCAAATATATACAAAAATCATAAGTATCTTACTTATCATCTGATAGAGATAACCGTCTTCTAACATTATCGATTATCGACCTTATACTATCGAATTTTCATCATCAGAAACAACCTGAGTTCCCAGACCTCTTTCATTTCATTACATTACCATAACAAACAAAAAAAAGACAAAATGCTCTAATGACTCAGAAAGACAAATTCATACCTGGTTCAAAAAAATCAAAGGTCTGCTTGTATAGTCCATCTATGTAGAAGTATGTCTTCAAAATTTTTAGTGATGAAGAGAAAGAAAACATGTTTTGTTGTTAGAAATTAGAAATTAAAAATGTAGATTGGTCCTCACAATTCTTGGATATTCGATTCGATCGGTTTGGTTCGTAGATCCGTTCATTGTTAGAATATTTTATATTAATTTAGATATATTCTAAGATATTCAAAATTAATATAAACTCTCAGTGCATCACCCATTTTCTTATATTTTTAATATTTTAAATTAATATAAAAAATATTATAAGATATTTGTAATATATTTTTAATATAAAGGATATTATAAGATATTTTTGATATTTTAAATTAATAAAATAAATTATAAAATATTTATAATATTTTTATTCTAACGATTAATGAATTAAGTTTTGGGTCCATTAACGATCTGTTGAATTTTAGGAGTTATAAATATGTATCTCTATCATTATTGTCTTCACAACCTTCAGAATTTTATCAGTTATAGACATAGATAAGAGTTAAAAATGCTCGGTGTTATATTTCAATTTTTGCCTATAAGATTTCTCATAATCTCATGTCACAATGCATCAAGACACACACCTTAGGGTTAGGGTTGTTTCTTTCTTTATTCTATCTTTAAATTTACTCTTGAGGGATTACCAAGCATCTTGAATTGTGTATCTTGTACATATGTTCTTTTAACTAACATCAATATGTGCATATATATTCATTTGAATCTTCATATTGTAGTTGATCACAATTGCATTCATCTCACCATCTAATCTAGGGTTTGAGGGTGATTCTCAATCAAATGGTTCTCTAATAGATTGCAAGAGCTCAATATTTAAGGTCATGTCTATGACATCAAATATTTTTAGTTCAAGGAGTCCTCTCACTTTATTTAGGCCAAGATCTCCTAAAAGTTAATGGTGGAATTCATCAAGAAGATTCATAGGTTCATGTGTTTATTTCCATGCCTTCTTTAACAAGCTTTATTGAGACTTAAGCTCCATCTTTGAGTGTGCTTCAAGACAACATCATTTCAAGGTCTCTTATAATTCATCATGCTTTATTTCACCAAGAAAGTTCGAAGAGATTCAAGGTTGGCCCAACAAATTTGACCTAATTGAGCAAATACTAGATTCAACGATCACAAGTGCACAACTCTCTCAATTTTCAATATTTTTGTTTGAGCAAGAAAGCTTCTAACTATTTATAAGTTTTGATGATAACAATTATATGTGAAATTATATGTGCGCATCTCAAGTTCCACATCGACCAAATCAGAAGCATTCTAGCAAAGTTAAAGAAAGCTCAGCATCAAAAGTAATGCTGACCAAAAACTCTAAAAACTATCAGCATATAAAATCATGTGATCACAAACACATTCAAAAGATACATTCAGAAGCATCAGATGAGAAATCATTATTCTTGAGGCAAACACAATAATTACTTATCTCAAACAATATCTTGGAAACATGAAAAAAAGTAAACACGCCCCAAAAGTAAAAATCATTACATATATGAGGAAACATGTATTGAGGAATGGCCTCAACGTGCCTAGCTAGCCCAACGATACTTTTTCACAATGGCTATAAAAGGATCCCCATACTGTTTGAAAAATACTACAACAACAAAAACGTGCTACAATATTTCACACACACGCTCAAATTCTCAATCAGTTACAAAATTCGTTTACACTTAGTTGTTGCTCAAAAGTGTAACTTCATTAGATAGAAAATTTAGTGTTTATCAGCTTTATAAAAGTATATTTTTGTAAACACAAAACACTATTCTACGTGTAATTTTGTACATTTACTCAAGTGACTTTCTAGTCTGTATACTTGAGAGGGCTAAGAGGTATTTCTAGACTCTTAGAAGTTATTGTGCAATATTTTGAGATTAGTGAATTAAGTCATTGTTAAAGGCGAAATCACTTTGGAGGGTGGACAAGAGGTAACCTTAGTTTTAAGGTGAGCTTGTATAAAAATAACTGTGTTATTTTTATTTGTTTTTTTTTCCACAATAACTACTTATCATTGCATGTTAGTGATAAAACAAAGTTTTTTTGAAAGAAATTTTAGAAAACCCAATTCAATCCCCCTTACTTGTGTTTTCTCTAACCTTCAATTAGTATCAGAGCTTCGACTATGTCATTGATTTTCAAATCAAATACTTAATCGTGTAGAGAGATTCATGGAGTTAGAAAATTTTCTTTTCAAAATGACATCTACTAGCACAAATGAAAAGGACAAATATAAAGCTAAACCACCTGTTTTCGGCGGTGAAAATTTTGATCACTGAAAAGATTTGTTAGAAAGCTACCTTCTTAGTTATGATTTGGATCTATGGGATCTAGATATAGATGGGTATACATCACCTGTAACAAAATAAGGAAATCCAGTCCCTAGAAGCGAGATGAAAGAAGAACAGAAGCAAATGCTCAGAAAACATCACAAAGCCAGAACCATTCTTCTGAACGCCATTTCATGCAACGAGTATGTAAAGATCACAAACAGAGAATCCGCAAAAGAGATTTTCGATTCTCTCAGAATAACACATGAAGGAAACTCAAAAGTAAAAGAAACAAAGGCCTTGGCTTTACTCCAGAAATATGAAGTCTTCAAGATGGAAGATGATGAGAACATAGAAACCATGTTCTCCAGATTTCAAACACTTGTAGCTGGATTAAAAGTTCTGAACAAAGGCTATATAACTACTGATTACGTTAAGAAGATTGTCAGAAGCCTTCTAAAGAAATGGAGACCAATGGTCACTTATCTAAAACTGGCTAAAGATTTGGACAATATAAGTCTTGAAGAACTAATCAGCTCTCTCAGGAGCCATGAAATAGAACTGGAGGAAGATGAACCTCATAAGCAAGGAAAAACAATAACACTCAAATCAGATCAAAAAGATTGAAGCCAGCTAAGAACAAAGCATTCCAAGCTGAAGAAGAACTCACAGAAAGGCTTAAGGACGAAGATTCAGATAATGAGGACTGTAACGCCCGATAATTTAATTAAATTATTTTTTAAATTAATTGTTGATTTTGTGAAATGTTGATTTAAGTTGTCATGTTGTTAGTTGATTATTTGGTTGATTAAGTTGTAGAAATAGTATTGAAATAATACTAGATTTATTATATGGGCTTAATTAATGGTTGGTAGTAGTAAAAGTGGGGGTGTTGAGATTAGGCCCAATGGAATTATTTAGAATAATAGTCTTATTATATTGATTAAGTTGAATAAGAAAAATAAATTAGATGTGACAATTAGGAAAATAGGTTTTGTCAAGTAGAAGAGGAATAAGGGTTGGAAGAGAGAAAGAGAACGTAGAATTTGTAGAGCAAAGGGAAGAGAGGAAAAGCTAGGTTCAACCAAAGAATTATAGAGCAGTCTTCAATCCAAAGTAAGGGTGGGGTTCTAACTCTATAATAGGGTATGTGATGAGTGGTATGTGGGATTGAGTTTGTAGAATTGTTTCTATTTGAAATTTATATATTGTTGTTTGATTGGAAATCAATGAATTAGAGATGAATAATGATGCCCAAATGATATATAACTGATGTAGAAACCTAGGATGATAATAGATGATGATTACCTATGATTTGATGATGTCTTAAGACCCATAATATAGTGAAATCGCAGAAAATCATAGTAAATCATAGAAAAATCCAGCACAAAACAGCATGAGTCGACTCATGCAGAAGGCAGAGTCGGTATGAGCATACCCAAGAGGCATAATCTCTCTATCAAATAGATATGAGTCGACTCATTGAGTCGACCTGAGCATACCCGAGTAACATCTAATTTTCGAAAATTTTGT